CTGCAACGTTTTAACTGTAGACAAGTCCTTAGGCTTTGCTCACCAAACTTACAGCAATGAGTACAGCAGGAATCAATTACACAACAATAATAATAAATAAATAATAATAATAACCCTTCTTAAAGTACAGTTCTTGGCCCAATAATCTTTTTAAAAGAGAGATCCAGAGTTAAGGCAGAAAATATGGGCACAGTTCTTCGAGGTATTGAGAACCTCCTGCAAGGTGCTAAGCACCCTCAGCTCCCAATGGAACTGGTCTCATGCCAGTAACTCACACCACTGTGCTTAAAGAAGGACTCAATTCCGCTCCTTCTGAGGTTAATGGAAGTTTTGCCATTGACATCAATGGGAAAAAGACTGGGTCCTATTACTTTTACATATCAAATATACTATTATAACTCAATGTAAAAAGCTGGAAGTCCATAAATCTGATTTTCTTTCATTGTGGAATTTACAGTTTTAATAAGGCTATTAATATTAATTTGCAACAAATGTTTTGTATAAACATCCCTGTCTTTTTATGCTTTTTTAATATATAAAGGAAAGACCAACTTGCAAATGTATGAAATATTCTGATCAATTTTAGCTCAATGACATGATTCATTTTAATAACTCTTCTCTTGTGTCAATATTAGTTTGCATACTAAAAAGTCAACATTATATAATCTAAATACTCTATAGTACATGTGCAGTAATCTAATGGAACTTAGAGCATGTGTTAAATATGCAAACTAAAAAGGCTTTCAAAGATAGCTTTATAAATATCAGTATCATGACCTTTTTAATTTGGTAAAGGTAGTAATCTTGTTGACTAAGTAAGTTATTTTTACGTGTGTGTTCTTTGAGATACGGACGATACTTCCTATAGAAAGCTTGTCTATTTCTTTTTCCTAACTAGTCAAGTAAAATAATTACTTGTCTTGTTTTATTTCATTTAGTTAGTTAGTTTTGTGGCCAGAAAAATCTTTTATTTTTTTCCAAAATAAAAACAAAAAACAAAACAAAATCCCAAAGCAGTGTTAGAGCTGAAGGCTCCAGTCCTTCAAAGGGACTACTCAGGTGCTTACATTTAGGCAGGACTAGAGTCTTCGAAAGCAAGGGCTTGATCCTGTGCCCACTAAAGTTAACAGTAAAATTCTCACTGGCTTCCATGGTGCAGGATCAGGGCCTATACACACACAACCTTTTTGTTTTTGACACTCCTAAAATATATAAATAGCTGGAACAACTTACACAAAGATAATAAAAATAAACAAATGTATGTTTCCCAGTGAGATGTTGTATGGCAAACTCTAAACCATGGCAAATTTTTAGAGCAAGTTATAAACAAGCATGATAGGTCTGGCTTAATGGTTAGAGTTCACTTGCTTAGTTTTTGTTTTTGACAAAACCCTAATACGAGAAATATACTGAAAAGCATTTTTATGCTCAGCACAAAACTTAAGCATTCCCTCTACAGTGTTGGAAACTAACACAGAACAGCATTATTGTGCATAAATATCAAAAAGTGGGCTTGACTAGAAACAAAAAATGAAACTAACCAGCCTAGTTATATTGTTCAAACTGGTAAAAGTGAAAAAAGTAGGCAAACATCTCAAATGGTGAAAAGCATATTAAAAACTCAATCCTGCATTCACACACTTGAGTAATTTTGCTCACATAAGGTGTCTTATTAAAGATACATACTTGCCTAATTGCTTACAGGACTGGGGCATATATATTTAGAAACCTTTCATGTGAAATACTCTACATTCTTAATAGTTAGAATATTTAGCATATGTTATTATATGCATCCGATGAAGTGAGCTGTAGCTCACGAAAGCTTATGCTCAAATAAATTGGTTAGTCTCTAAGGTGCCACAAGTACTCCTTTTCTTTTTGCGAATACAGATTAACACGGCTGTTACTCTGAAACCTGTTATTATCTTAAGTCTTCTTTTAACAATGGAAGTGCTACTTTTGATCCTGATCCCGTAACTGTTCTCTGAGCCAGATCCACCTTCCATTAAAGTCAAAGACTCCCACCCAATTCCATGGGAACAGAATTAAGCTCATATTGGGCCAGACCCTACAAGAGCTCCATGCATCACATTCCCTTGAAGATAACACCCAATATAAGGGTTAATGCACAGGCTAATGGTGACTACCAAGCTGGAATTCAAATGAGGAATTCTGATGCTGCATTATTCTGGCATATTTTATGATAGCTTCATAATCCTTCAATGGAACTGTAGGCTAGTAATTATCATTTACTCTTGCACTGTCATTTCTAGTCTACAGAAGGGGCTTACTCTTTCAAACCCTTATTTAAATAATAATGATATTTAGCATTTTCATAATGTTTTATACGCTACACCATTGTACAGGCATTAGTTAATTAATCTGACATGAATCATCCTTATTTGTGCAGGTAGTTTCACTGAAGTCAATGTGACTACTTGCAGCATGATAAGAATTAACCATGTATATTTTTGCAGGATCAGTGGTTATATATTTTCAACATTTTATATTCTTATGACTTTATGATATTAAACTAATAGTCAAGAGAAGATCATGTTTAAAATATAAAAATGGAATTTGGATTCTAAAGTGTCTGTACTTTCAGCTGTTGCACTTATGCAATGGAATCAAGATTATATAACATGAGTCTGATTACAAAAAATATGGCTCTCATTACACAGTGCATGGTTTCTATTACAGGATAGTAATCTATCACAGATTATCAGGCTATAATTGACAAGTATATATTATATTACTGTTAATATATATTTTAACTTGCATTGCACAGTACACGGCTTTCAAATTTCCCTTTTATGGCTACTTGCCTATTAAATTATTGGCAATAATTTTAATTGACCATTTTTACTTTATCTCACAAATACACACCAATTTACATACAGGACTTTTTCATATTAAATACCTAAGATCAAACTGCTGGAAAACCTATAATAAATTTTGGCTTGAACAGGTTTATTTCAACAAAAAAGAAAAACTTTGCTTTGAAGAAACCATCCTTCCTTTGCAATCAGAAAACAGAATTTTATTTCAGAAATCCTTTTGGTGATTAAAAGAAGATTGTGAAATTTTACAGTGTGTTCAAGACTAATGTTTAATTGATTAGTAATCTAAGTATTTTATTTAAAATGTTTCATATTGAGCCATGTTATGAATAAACAAAATATTTAAAACAAAATTATGCCATTAAACCTGTTTTGACCCTTTTCAGTTTAGGGGTAGAAACAAACCACAGAAAAATATTACAATAGTTTAAGAACTGGTTTGATAGATTTTAACATAATACTTCTCAATCCTTATTCAAATACAATGAGAAACACGATCACTGTAAAAAGAATGAAAAACAAATAATGGGACATAACAAAACAGATCCTACTGAGGTTTAATATACCACGGATCTATTATAAATTAAGTAAGCCTCTTTTTTATGGGTAGATGTTTCTTTGAATTCCAAGGTGACCTATGGAAATTGACATCTTCAAGTGAAACAAGGCATACAGTACGAACTAATTGAATAAATGAGTAGCAGACCTAGAAGCCAAACTGAAGGAGGAGGTGAGGACTGTGGAAATGTCTTTCCCAAAAGGGTCAGGCAAGGTTCAAGTAAAGTAATCTAAATAAACACCTCCTTTATGGGCCAGTCTGTGAAGCTACTGATGAGCAGTTACTCACATAAGCAGTCCCATTAATGAATGTGAGTAAATCTGTAACAATAAAGTAATTATTTATTAAACAAAAGATCCACCCAAAAGATTCCAGTGAATTTTTGTCCGAAGGAAAAAAACACCATTTTCCATTGTCTACTATTACTAGAGGACATGGACCTGTGTGTGTGGGCTAAGTGGAAAGACAACATTTCAAGGACACACTAAATGATCAGAAAACCACCTTACATAGACACAGGCAACTGGCCCATTGTAATGAACATAAAGAAGGACTGGCTACAGATCTCACAAAAAATATTTATTCATCAAAATCTCACTTCCAATGGTGTTCTAAGGGAGAAAGAGAAAAAGGAACACAACAGTAATATTTTTTCTTGGCTAAGAGCAAATGGAGTATCATTTGATATCTAATACATCCTCTGTTGAGGACCTACATATTTTGTTCTGGCTGGAGGATCCAAAAGATCTTTTCCAGGGCTAGCCATTATGAACCTAATGTACAGTGAAGAATTATTTGATTAGTTTTTTAGACAACAAATTTAAAGCTGCACAACAGTGTTGATAGCTCAGCACTGGGCAAGAATTGTAGCTTGAGTGTAACTATTGTCAAAGAGGCAAACCTATGTTTAGAGCTATCAAAAACCAGGTGCTGAGGGAGTCCCAATAATTGCCCACTATCCCATCCAGTAATTTATCTGTGCAGTGCTTTGGAGGCCAGGAAGAAGCCAGACAAAAAGTCTGGAAGCAGCAGTTCAAGGCAGTGTATCTTAATACAGTGATACTTGTGTAAAGTAGGAGGCCAGCAAGTCTAGGCTGACTAGTGGAGGGAGGCTTTAGTTCAAGATAGAACAAATGACACCTGAAATCTGGAGGATAATTTGCTCAACACAAAGGGATTGTCTGCTGGGGATGGCTCTTCCAGCATCTTTCACTACCCAGCTAGCAAATTATAATGTCAGCTACAGGACAAAGTATATAAAAGGGGAGATAAAACCATTCCTTTCAGACCTCTCCACACCCTTTCCCCCGTTGTTACCGTTGCATATAACTGAAACCAGAGGCCCTCCAAGCACCTGACCCACATGACTGACCCTATCGCCCCTGTGCAGCAGGGAAGTGTAATTATCCCCATTTCACTGAGGAACAGGGAGAACAGGTGACCCATCACCTTGGTATCTTGACCTGGCCAAGGTCATACAGGGAGCCATTGGCCCAGGAGGTCAGGGCCAGAGAGCAGGCTGTGCGGGAATTGGGGCTTAAACCCCTGCAAGTAAGGAAACAGCTGACACGGCACTGAACCCCGGGTCCTCAGCCCCTTACCTGACCCTTCACCAGGCTGGCTGCGAACTGCCTCATGACCGCCTCCACGGTGTAGGCGCTGGACCAGCCGCGAGGGGTGAGCAGCTCCATGCAGATGGCCCCGCCGTCCAGCACGTAGCCGTTCTCCAGGCGGGGGCTGAGCACCCTCATGAAGGGCGGCGAGAAGGGGAAGTTGTCGGGGAAGGTGAGGTTGAGCAGGATGAACTCGGTGTTGGTCTCCTTCATGTCCTGCCACAGCACCGAGTCCTTGTCCACCTGGTGCAGCTTCACGTTCCAGTCGAACAGGCTCTCGTCCACCAGCTCCACAGAGATGAAGCGGTCGCTCAGCCGGGCGATGTCCTGCAGCTCCTTCATCAGCCGCCGGCTCCGCACCTGCGTGCAGTGCTGCTGCCTGCCCGAGGGCGCCACGGGGGCAGAGCCCGACGGGGGCGGCACCAGCGGGGCAGAGCCGGCCCGGCCGCTGCTGCTCCCCCCAGGCAGCAGCTGCGGCCTGGGCTCCTTACCCGAGCCGGGCTCCTTGGCGCTGTGGTGCGGGGGCTTCTCCTTGTGGCCCCCCGAGCCGGGCTGCTGCGGCGGCTGCTTGGAGAGCTCCAGCACTTTCTTGGCCTTGTTGCCCGCTGGGCTGCCCTCCTTGCTGGGGCTGCTGCTGCTGCTGCAGCCGGCGCTGCCCTGCTGCTTGTTGCTGCTGTTCTTCTGGCTGCCCTTGGCTCGGAGCGAGGAGCCCTGCTGGCTGCTGCGGTGGTGGTGATGATGGTGCTTGGGATCCTCCGTGTCCCTGTTGTGCAGTCGGATGAGCCCGATTTTCCGGAGCAGAGTGGCCATGTTGTGTTTGGCGGTTTCTGTTGGAGCCGCTGCTTGGCGAGCCCCGGCGTGGCCCCTCTGCAGAGAGCAGGGCGCTCCTCGGCTTGAGTGAGGGCGACGGAGACGACTGAGCCCGGAGCAGGGAGGGCGGGAGAGACAGAAAGACGATGGGGAGAGGCGATGCTGCTTCTGCTCAGACGCCTCCTTTCACCGGGGCTGCTGCTGGCAGCATTGCAGCACTGTAGCCGCTCCCGGAGTCACCAGAGCTCCACTGCTATGGCCATAACCCCCCTCGAAAGGGGGGAAACCTTCTCCACGCACCGCCCCCCCCCCCCCCCCCGAGAGGTGCTTCTCCTGCAGATGGCCGGCTGCTTCCCGACTAACCTGCAGTTAATATCGAGCCAAGCCACGCCACGAGCTCTGCCCGCGGGATTTACCCTTCGCTGCCTCTTCCCCGCCGCCCCCCTTCGCTTCCCTCGCTAGCCTTGGACCTGCTCAGGTACCAGATTTCCCTCCTCCTCCAGCTGGTGAGCTAATGTCGCTCTCGATTCTGTCGGCTGCAGGTTTCTCCCTGCGAACGGTGGGATCTGTTCGGCTCCTGAGTATCCCCCTCTGCCTCCCCGTTTCCCTCTCAGCAGCCGCAGCCGGACAGCTCCTGGCCCCGGCTCTTTGTTGTGGAATCCGCTACAGCCAGGCTCCAGGGCGCTGCGTGTGCCGCAGCCGACGGGGCTAGTTTGGGCTGACGGAGTAATACAGCGAGAAGGCGGGTGAGGGGGGCAGGGGAATCTCCGAACGCAGCCCAAGGCGCCCTTCGCCCTTCCCTCCGTTTACCTTCTCCTGGCACAGGGGGAGAGAGCGCTTTGGGGGGAGCTGCCCCCGCACCACGGCCGCCCTGCCTTGTTTCTGCAGGTTCTCCGCTTCTGCGGAGCTGACATTGCAGAGGCCGCTCAGTCTGTTGCTGTGCGTGCGGAGGAGGAGGCGGGACCCTGGGGAGGGGCCAGGCTGTTACTCGCACGGGGGCAGGAGCCACTGGCTGGAGGAGAATTAAAATGTTTCTTTAATAATGGTGGGGAGTTGGGGATGGGCGCCCCTTCATCCCCTCAACATGAACAGATTTCTCAGCCCACCTGCTCCCCCCAAACGCCAAGGCTAATGTGGCCCCATGGGCTTGTGACTGTGCACAGAGACAAGACAACCGACCGTATCAGAAACGTGATCGCTGGGTGCTGGATCCATACAGCTGCTTTCCCCTTCAAAGACTGAAAAGGGAAGAGAGAAACACTTTCAGATGGGGAGGAAGAAAGGCAAAGGCTGAAGAATAATTATAGCTATTCACCAGTGAACACATAGTAATAGCCAGTGTGTGTGTCCCTGTTGGTATTATATTCTATAAAATCTATGTCAAGTCAGTACCTGATGAAGGAATAAATCTGTTACAGTATTAGATGTCCTCTGCCCTTTAGTGTGCCCTGGGGAGGCCTCCACCAGTGCCAGGTTTACAATGGTGCCATGGAGCCGGGCCCATGCTCAGAAGGGGACCTGGACTGCTCCGCTTGTACTGCGCCCCAAGACAACATAGGCCTGCCCCCCGAGGGGAAAGGGCATGCTGGCAGCACAGGGCTAGTCGGCCACTGTGCGTCTGGCAACTGCTGGTTTGTGAATAGTGCCCTCGCACTGGGCTGCCCCTGCCATGCTCCATTGCCCCTGGCTGGCCCTTCACTCTCCCCACCACGCTCCATTGCCTCCATGAATGGGCCCACAAAAGGTTAATCTGGCCCTGGCCTCCACTCTGGTTTGGAAGAACGGCCTGTATTGGGAAGGGATTTGTGAACTCCTTTAAGCCGTTTTGGAAACAATGTGAAGGAAACTTAGCAGGCTTCTTAAATATGTGCAAATTATAGTATGTTATCAGCTGCAACCATATTTTTTGATCTGAGTGACGGCTTCTTGACACAACTGTAAGGAATTTTGGAGACACCCTTTACTTTTCATCCTTATTTTTTTCCCCTTGCTATTAATTTAACCGGTAACTTGTTTTGTCAGGTGATACTGCATGTGACAATATAGCATGTTACGACCAGTTGCAATAACCATTTTTTCACTTTATATAGTGTAAAATGCAAATTAATACAAACAGAAGAAACAAATTAATGACAATTTTATTTGGCATAATTTTAGAGAGCTTTTAGATATCAAGATCCTAAAAATAATTAATCAGTAGCATTATACAGGTTGAACCTCTCTAGTCCAGCATCCTGGGACCTGACCAATGCTGAATCAGTGAATTTTCCGAACCACGGGAGGTCAATGCAGAGTGCCAGCGGGTCTCCATAGGTGCGGGAAATAGGGGTGGTGCAGGGGGTGATGCATCACCCCCAGGCTTTGCGCCCAGTGTGGCCCCCCCTACCCGGGGACTCTGATGCCGGCCCCAGGTCTCAGTTGCTGGCCCCTCGCCCAGGGTCCCAGCTGCTGTCCCCAGGTCCTCCCCCTCCCTCTTGGAGTTTGGATGCCACAAATCAGCTGTTCGCAGCACTCTGGAGGCATTGGGAGGAAGGAGGAGGAGTTGGTAAGCGCGAGGCCACCGGTATGCAAGCGGCGCTGGGGGAGGGGACTGAGGGGGGAGCTTGGCGCCAGCCCTGGAGCACCCACGGAGTTGTCACCTATGCCGGACCATGGATGTTAGCGGACCAGGGAGTGCAGGATTAGAGGGATACAATCTGTATTGATTTCTCAGCTATGGTATCATTAAAGGCCTTATCCTGCAGGTGAAGTCAGTGATCCAGTGAAGTCAGGTTTCAGAGTAACAGCCATGTTAGGCTGTATTCGCAAAAAGAAAAGGAGTACTTGTGGCACCTTAGAGACTAACCAATTTGAGCATAAGCTTTCGTGAGCTACAGCTCACTTCATTGGATGTCAGTGAGAGTTTTGCCTTCAGTGGAAATAGGATGGGGTCCAAAAGGAACACTGATCGCTTTAAAATCATTTAAAACAAAACAAAGTTCCTTACCTCTGTTATAAATGACACTTTGTTTATTAAAACTCTAATCATTTTAAACATCTATGCTGTTTGTTTACTGGTTGCCTTTCTTGAAGCTTAGACAAAGATAGTCAGTTTCAGACCTTTTAGACATCTTTTTATATCATGCCACTGATGTAAATAGCCTAGTTGACCTTATAGTAGTGGAGGATCATGCAAAGTGGAGCTCTGCTCTGTCTCTTTGTTCCCTAACACATTCCCTCCTTTCAGCTATGCTAGGGGAAGGGAGGTTTTTTGTGTGGGGATGGGACAGAAGGACAGAGCTGACACAGGAGGCAGAGATTTCACTTGCACAAGAGGAGTTCTCTGATGGCCATTTATGGCCAATATCAGTCCATTTTGTACACTTGAGCAACTCAAAGTAGACACAGTGGGTAGGAGAATCCAGCTGCTAGTATAGATAATTTTTTTTTGGCATTTGCCAGCATTTTAACCACTGTGTCCGCTAACACTGCTCAAAACAAAGATGTAATTTACTTTTGATACTTAAAACATTGGCTGCAGCCTTTGTCCTGTCTACATTAAGGCTCTCAAAGTTGCTGGTGTAGCTGACACTAGTGTTAGTGTCTGAGGAATTTTTGTCAAATTTGCCTAGTGTAAGCAAGCCTGAAAATAGCTGGGACCCAGCTCAATGAGGGGTTCAAATTTCATAACAAATACACTGAAATAAGTCCACAACTGGATAAAGAGTTTGTGGAGTACACAGAGCACTCTACTATCCTGTTAGTAATGGCAGGTGCCAAATGGCAACATACTATACACTGATTCTTGCCAATTGCCAACCACATCCCTGTTGGCCACCTTGACTGCTGCCAATCTCCACACCCTAGTTCACACTGAATGCAAACTCCATCCTCTTGAATTCCTGTACTTCCTCCACTCAGCCACAATAAAGGTCAATCACAATCCCTGTTATGCGCAAAGAGGTCTTTTCCAACTCCTCTAAGATCTTCTCATCACCCTCCTAAGAGATACTCTATCTTACCACCAATTATTGGGCTTGATGCAAGGTAAAATTCTATGGCCTGTGTTATAAAGGAGGTCAGACTAAGTGATCACAGTGATCCCTTCTGGCCTTGGAATCCATGAGTCTATGAATTCAGTGAGCTTTGGCTAAGCACCTGAGAATTTAGCCCAGGGAACTTCTCGCATAAGAACAGCCGTACTTGTCTGAGTAAAGGATGGGATCCTGGTTATGCTGCTATTGAAGTCAATGGCAACATTTCCATTGATTTCAATGGGAAGTGAGATCACACCCTGACACATGAATATACCACCCTGCCAAATTGCAGTCAGGGATTGCTTATTTCTAATTATTGCATGAACAAATTGGTAAACAACCAAACAGTATGAAAAATATACTTGTACTATATAACCCTCTGAATCTGGCCACTTGGTAATTTCTGGTCTCTTGAATAAATAACATCTATTTATTGTGTGGTACTGCAGTTCCCATGGTTCAGATAAAGTGAAGGAGAATGATTAAAATGATTCAGGTGTATGCTCCCATGCAGCAAGCGAAAGACAAAGAAATGGAACATTTCTACAAAAAGCTAGAGGAGGCAATGCAGAAAGGGTCCACCTATACAATCATTCAAGGGGACTGCAGTGCAATAATAGGTGGAAAGGAGAGTGAGAATGAAAAGTACATGGGAAAATTCAATAAAGGTGTAAGAAATGATCGTGGCATACGTCTGATTGCATTCACAGAGGCAAACCATCTCCACATAATGAACAGAATATTTCAAAAAGAACAACTGCATTGGACATGGAAAAGCCCAGATGGAGTCACACTGAATCAGACTGATTATATATTGATGGATACAAGAAAAATCTTCAACGATGTAGCTACAATACGAGAATGAGTTATGTGCAAGGCTCAGACCATCCTATGTTGGGCTCAAAACTATGCGTTGACAATGCCTACAAAGATGAGTCAAGAGAAGCCAGAAACCGAAGCAAAAATGGCACTTCAACAAAGAAGCATTTGCATAGGAAGTGAGTGAAATGGACCTCGAGTATAATGTCAACAAGGACATTGATGAGGACTATGGAGAGTTTCTCTCTCAGATAATCTCACCAGCTAAGAAGGCAAAGACATTGAAAACACTGGGACGCAAGCAGAGGATCACTGAGGAAACTGAATCTGGTGGCGAGGAGGATGCGCATGAAATTAGACGGAAAAATGGGTGAAGAATACAGAACACTGTGCAAAGAAATTTGCGTGAAGATCAAAGAAGACCCTGAAGACTTTAGAAAGAAAAAATTGAA